AGACCCCACACCTAGCGTTTATTCATGAACTGGTGAAAGCTGAAGCAAGGAGACAACTGGAAGCCACACAGTGCTACTTCAGTGCTAAAAGCCCTCACATTTCTGTCACAATTCATAGCTATCAGAAAGAAAAGGGCTGAATACACACCAGAGCATGCCTTCATGGGAATGCAGTAACATAGACATAGGAGAATTTATGTTAATGTGATACATTAATTAAATATATTATATTCAATAGCAAAGATGATTATACTAGTCAAACTTACTCCATACTATGAGACAAGCCATGAACACCTCAAGAGCACAACCACATCATACTCCCCAAAGTATGGTATCCTTTTGGCTGTTTCGATAAGATAGCCCCCCTGCTGTTCCCATCCCGAATACTTCAATTAGTAAGAGAACTCCTTAGGAAAAGCCCAAGTCCCTGAATGCATGCATGACTTGTAACAGCACTCAGGAAAGGATCAAGCAAGGGGGAAGATGGCTAGCGAGAAAGACACAACAGGCTCTGAAGGAGGTCAATAGGACAAGTGGTTTACGTATCTGAGGTGTAACAGTCAAAAGAAGAGTGAAAATCAGTGAAGTATGAGACCAAACAACAAAGTAACTTTATTTATTTATTTAAAGGATGCATGCTCTCGTGCATAATTCTCTTCAAAAAGCCTTAATAAATTTACCGTGGTTTACAGAAGCTAAGGTTAGCAGCTTATTGAATGTTTATTCTTGTTGTTGCTAACAGCCAACTTTTAAGCGAGCTATTCTAAAATGGAATAAATAATAGCAGAAAATGTCAGTCAACGACGTTCTGCCATTAGAAAAAAACAGACTAAGAGACCCTAAAGTGAACCATCACAGAATGACCCAACATCCCGAAAAACAAACCCAGTAACATCTTCTGAAAGAATATTAATAATACTTTACTTATTCTTCATTACTTATACTGCTTATAAATAAGACACCTATATACTTTTACAGTTAATCTTATAAGTTGGTTACACTGGCAAAATATCAAGTCCAGAGCAAAAATATCAAACCCAAACATTATCACGAAAAACAAGGATACAATTGACCTAAATGCAGATCATAGGCTACCTTTAAAAAAGTATTTTTATATTCTAAATTCTAAAGCAACATAAAGTCGAGTTCACAAAACGTTGTAAGCAAACAGTAAGACAGTTTCAAAGTCACTTTAACCTTACTACAACACTATCCTAAAGGAGTTCAAAACAGAGTAATATCCTAGCTCTGCCCATCTCAAGGGAAAAGCCAGCTCGGATCACAGGGCAGGGTGAGGAGTTTAAGGCAGGGATGTCAGACAAGGACAAACTCCCTGGAGGAAGTATCCCAAGCACTTTGCTGCATTTAGTGCAGGAATGCATTCTCCAAAGGAATTGTGCTCTATTGGATCTGACTAGTAACTGGAGACAGAACATACCTGCCACTATAAAAAGAAATAATATGAAAGGGAAAACACATCCCATTCCATAAAATATCTTTAACTTCTGATTAACTGGGCTAGAAGGTTAAAAAAGCTCAGCAGTTACAGAACCAGTTGTGGTAGCAGACAAAAAACTACCTCTGAGTAAGGTAAAGGTCCTTGAATCTAACCCACCCCAACGCACTTAGTACCTCACATAGAGTTTTGTGGAACCACGTCATTACAGGCTTTAAAAGCATCAACGTCATTCTGTTCAACGTGAAACAATGTGTTTTCAGGGGCACTTTCTGTATACATAGTATAGCAAGGATGCTAAGGGTTTCTGCTTTAGGTTTGTCAGGGTTTTATGAACTGTAACTTAAAATTCAAAAATCCTTATGCTTAAGTCACTGTACACAGGCCAACGAAAAAGCAGAAGATCAAGCCCTGATCAACTAATACCTGATCTGGGATTGCAGCCACTCACAGATACTGAAGACTGGACAAAGAGGTATTTCCCATGGCATGCTTTCCCTGCCAGGAGAACCCACCACTTCAGCAAGAGTTCAATACCACTCACCAGGGGGATTTGTCCAGTTCTGGACTCTCCAGTTCAAGAAGAAGAGGGGACAGCTGGAGAGGGTACAGCAGAGGTCTACAAAGATGATTATAATCCGCACTTCTGAATTCTGGGGATAATGCATATTCTGTGATATTTAGCAAAGTATTAAAACAGAAAAACAGAGTTACTGCAACATAACTGAGCCCCCCTGTACCAAATGGGGACTACTTCTGCATGGTGTTCTTCACCTCACTTCTTAATGTTAGTTTCTTCCTTTTTTTCACTTGTTCAAGGGATTATTTACCTTTGCTTAACTATTTACTTTACACAGTCATCTTGGTCTTCGTAAGTTGCTTGGTGGAAGTTACCTGCTTTAGTTCTTCTTTAATTAATTAAAGGAAAAGTAGGAGATAATGTTTGTTTGTTGGAGGATACAAATTATTATTTTTTAAACTCCACCTGTTTAATTATACTGGGAATTCCTTATTGCTATTGCCTACCTCTGCCTTTAATCTTACTTTAGGATGAACCAGCTGAGAATAAAATCTGCACAGGAAAAGCTCTTGATTCCCACCCATAAACTAACAGCCTTTAAGCAACTCTTTGCACTCCATATCATCACCCTGGCTCAGCAGCTTCAACTGTATTGATATTGAAGAGCAGCAGACTACTTCTAAAAAATATACGCAACTCTTTGCACTCCATATCATCACCCTGGCTCAGCAGCTTCAACTGTATTGATATTGAAGAGCAGCAGACTACTTCTAAAAAAGGCACAGAGAAAGGCACAGAGAAAGGCACAGAGATTGCACTGTCAGTTGGCTTGTACCATCTATATACATCTACACTTCCAATGCAAAGGTTCCAAGAGTTTGGGAGTGGTTTTGTTTTGTTTTTAAAAGAACATCAGATATAAAAAAAGGTTGAACCTACAGGACTTGTTGGGTCCTGACACATCCTTTGGCACATGGTATTACTGAGAAATCAGCTTCTCAGACATTCTTCAATCACCAGCGTGAACACACTACCGCTGGTTTGAATCAGGGCATTTTAAAGTCATATATGAAAAAAGAAAAAAGTTACATAGCAAAAACTGTTTCAGAGGGCAGAGAATACACAAAACTGAAGTAATTCTGCCACATGACGTTCATAATGCTATAAACCACTTTCAGCCTGATTTTTTTTTTAATTTGAAAGAATCATCTTACTGTGCTGAGTATTAATTTTTCCACTCAAAGTATGTTTGCTTTGACAATCCAGATACTAAATGTTTAATTTTTTTATTCATCCAAGAAAAACAAAGATCTTCATAACAAGCTGTTATGACAGGATATAATGGCAGTTAGTTTTGTATCACCCAAACTTCATGCATTGAGTTTGTTGTTAAGACGTATTTGGGAGAAGTTGTGTTCTTTAGAGATACAAGCTTTCCTCACTATTGTAAAACCCAAATACAGTAATAGTTGCTCTTTTCTGAGCTGGAGGATGTTTAATCTTTCAGTTCCAAGTCCCATGAAAGAGCACCCACTATGGTTCTCTCCCCTACATTTAATGAACATTATAAAAAATGGTCAGAAATAACAACAAAAGTTGTCTTTCTCCATAATTAGCAACTGCCAGGATCTGAGAGCAGCAAGCAAACGATGCACACTGAAGGAAAGGAGTAACTCTCAGCAAAGAGAAGAAATATCCCACGTGTCAGAACAGAAAGAGTATAGGGAGAAGTAGGGAAAAAGAGGTATAAACCCAGGCTACATACACCATCAGGCTCATTAATAGAGCAGCAACAGAAACATGAAGTTCAAAGAAATATTTTTGGTCATTTGCTTTTAGTTAGACCTTCTTTCTTAACCAACTCCATTCTACTGGTTAAAGGACACTCACCATACCACATCAATTCTGGCACAGGATTAGTAAAATAGAAAGATGGCCACAACTGAACTGGAAAAGATCTTGTCATCAGTTCTGTTGGCCAACACACACTAACTGGAAGTATTCTGGGAATAGCTTCTTAATTTTTTTATTTATTTTTTTTTGGCAACATCATCAAGTGCAACACCAGCAGTCAGCAAGTGAAGCCCTCTGAGGGGTGGAGGAAGCTTCTGCTGTGCCACCTACTACAGGCAAGCCATTTCTCCATTTCTGTTCCAGGTTACAGCCCTGGGACACTGTTAGTAACTCCAGCACTGCAAGCACATAGTTTATATCCAGCTTCTCTCTCCTCTCTACCTTCCTGAGCATGGCAACTGCTTATTAAAAACTATGTTTTTCTAAGCAAAATGGATTTCAACAAACAATCCATCCACAGTGCCCTACATTAAACAAATGGCTGCATAAATAGCCACACTTGTTTACTAAAAGCAAAATCTACAGGAAACATACCACAATATTTATTTATACTGGGTAACGACAGCTGTAAGTGTACAGGTTTTCCAGTTACTCTCGTCAAAACTATACTTCTGGGGAAGCCAGGGGCAGAAGTCACTACCTCATCATATTTTTCGACATCATCAAAATATTACAGAGAAATAAAACACATTCTTCACAAGACTTTTATTATAGGCTAATGAGTTCAACTTAAGAAAACGTATAGTGAAATAGTTTTCAGTATGTACATGATTGCCCTTTTAATTAGAAGGGCCTGACTATGTTAAATTTAAGTAGAGGAAAAAAAACCAGCCTGAGAATTCACACTTCTGGAAAAACAAATATTCAACTCTTCAGGAGAATATTACAACATTGTCTTGAAAAATGATATAGAAGCCCCCATCTAAATAGGTCAGCAGTTCTCCTAAATAAGTGTATTGATAATCACTTGCAAGTTATAGCTAATTCAAACAAAAAAATATACTGCACCTTACAAACTGCTTCTAGAGAATTCAGCATTGTAACACTCAAGCTCAGCACACTTCTTGCTCTAAAACCAAAATTTCTTCTAGATTGAAAATACGAACCTTTTAAAATTAAAATGTGCAATATTCATTGATAATTAAGTATTTTTTGAGGGAAACAACTTACTTGATTGAGTTTCTGAAGTGGTCCTCAGCAGGATTTTTTACTGTGCAACTGTTCAGCAGCCATAAATCTGCTTCAGCAGAGTTGTCTAGAAGACAAAGACACAAATCTGTGTTAAGAATTATACAACCTGTCAACTCCTTTATAACATATTTTAAAAAAAGACCAAACTTAGCCAGAATCAATAAGATGACTACTTGCAAAATGACTTTATATTCAACATTTAAAGCGATCACATTCTTGGAAGGGGTTTGTTATTTGTTTGTTCTTTTGTGTTTTGGGAGGAAAAAACAACAACAAACACACACGAGCACTTCCGTTGTACCTTTGTTGGGTTTTTTTTTGCAAAGGAAGAATAAACAGTTATCTCATTTACTAGCTGAGATGCTACTAGGTTGGACACCACAGATAATAAAATTAAGAAGAGATGGTTGCTACTCCCAAAAATGCACACTCCCGAGAAAAGTCTGGCCTATGCAAAGGGAAAAAGATCACCAAAATGCATAAAGGTGCTTTTTAAACCAATAAAGTAGTCAATAAAGCAGGTTTCACTACCAAAATGAAATGCCTGCTTCGGCTCTGCCATGAAATAGTACAACAAAAGAGAATTTATAAAACACAAATCTCTATTAATGAGAAAAGTCAATGTAGCTAATTTGGCAAGAAACATGCATATATCTAGTTCAGATTGTATCTTAGCTATGGTATAATTATAGTTCAGCAATTTTCAGACAAAAGATATTCATACAAGGAATATCTGCCTCCATTCAGATAAGCACATAATTTTCTTCAAGACCCAAACCTTTCTCTATGTTCACAACCTATTGATGTGTAAATGTATTAACAGAACTGAATCCCAGAATTATCTGTGGAAGCACATATATAAACTCTAATCCTGTAAAACATGACCCATAGCACAGAATTACCAGCAGAGTTATTTTCTTGTGAAGCCAGAGCTGCTTTTTTCAAATAAAAGAACAAAGATAATCCATCTCAAATATCCAAGTGCTTTAGAATTCATCAGAATAGCTCGTGTCAGTTTGGCTAAGAAAAGTTGTGTCACTTTTGCTACTATTCAGTACATCCTGAGTACTGAAGTATTGACTGAGGTATCTTTAAATAACATAAGGCAATGAACAAAGAATAGAGCTAAAACATCATTTTTAGGATGCCTTGTTTGAATTGACATCCTGCTAAAGCAGAAGAAAGCTTGCAAAGATTTAAGCATGTTTATATATGCGCTCATCATGAATATACCCACATAAGCATGAATATCCTTTTCCCACATATGCATTCCTTTTTCCCCACATAGACATAACTGACCCTAAAATCCTAAAAGTCAATAATTTTTCCTTCTGTCTCATTGCCATTTTATCCAAAGAAATCATAGAATCATAGAATCATTGAGGTTGGAAGAGACCCTTGGGATCACCGAGTCCAACCATCTACCCTACTCTAAAATGATCCTTTACAACTAACTATCAGTCATTTAAGCTAGAAAGCTGGTAAAATGAAAATAGCACATAAAATAGCAACCAAAGGACATATTTATCTCAAGTAAGAGAAAACATTCAGAAGGTTTCTAATCTTTGTTGACAGAAATTATATCATTAACTTGGATCAAACACTGGCCTCTTCTGTCACAGGGAAATGCTACAAGGGAGTAATCAAAATTAACATTCAGACCTTAAGCTATTTTAAACATAAAGTGAATGTACCAAGATCGGACCCTGTCTTGACAGGAAAACACGACCATGTTCAATTTTAGCCTATACAGAAGTCAAAAAAAAAGTGGAACGAGCCAAAGAATCTCTCCTCCAACACAGGCTGCATGAAAACAAGGTTTTCATACTAATGAACCTACTATTACTGTTAGAAAGATAGTTAAAAGTTGATCAGGAATGATGTATAGAAAAGCAAAGAAAGGTACAGTTTCAAAATCAGAAAAAGGGTGAACTCTTGGCCCAGTCAAATTCACCAAGTATGAAAACACATTTTTAAAAGAGTTTTCCAATAACACTGCCAAAACTTTTTATTTCTTATTCTTTGCAGCAGCGTAAAACTTTTATAAATTCAGCTCCCCACCCATAACACACCCACCTGAGAATTGGAGGGGACACTAAATAACAAGAGGCTGACACTGTAAGTCAGGCAGGAGGCTGGGAATCCAACAGACAAGAGTTTCAGTAGGAGTCATACATTGACGCAGAGAACGTCAATTCTGGGCTTGGTTTCAGTTCCTCCTTGTGCTATGGTCTCCACATGTGAAGGAAGAGGTAGCCTCACTATGACAATACTTCTCCCCTAAAGCTAAAATAAAATCCCTTTTCTTCAAAACAGCACTGGAAAAACTAACACATGTAAGTTTAGAAGGACCTTACACACTAACCCAACAGGAATCATTTCACACAACAATCTGGATTCCAGGCTATTCATATATTATCTCCTTCACTGGGAGTCTGAGGGACAACAACTGCAACACTTGCACATATTTTGCATGTGGAAATCTCCCAAATACATCCAAATTCATTTCTTCATAGGTTTTACCTTCTGCAGAACAGAGGGTGTAGAATAAAAGCTTCTGCAGACTAGAATCTTCTGAGCGGTTTTGGGAAAAGGAGTCTCATTAATGTATACATCTAAAAAGCATTTAAGAAAAATAGAAATTTAGCAGAGGCTTGTCCTCCTCTTGCTGCAATAGTATTATTGTATATTATTTAGTTGTTCTATTTTTGTATTTATTTTTTAATTCATTTTCATATCGACTCTCATTTGAAGGGACTGTCTATATGTATATCCATACCTACATATATATAGGTATTAATCAATATTCTGGCAAAAGTTGATGCCAGTGCTCAATGTATGCCCAAAGAAAGCATAACATAGCTCTGACAAATAAGCCCAGGCTTCGAAATACATGCCTACATGGGCAGTGGAAGACAGACCTGAGGTTTCTCTGCTCTCCAGGAAGCATGAAGTATTTAGGTCTGGATGGTCAACACCATATGAACGTAGCACTGTGCCTGCTAAGGCAGCCCACGCACACTTCCTTGGAAGGTCTCCACCTACCACTTTTTCCAACTCCAGCCTCCAGCTTGTAAGGTCACAGTGAAGCTGGGATTCATTCGTTCAGCAGGTTGATGCCAATCATCCTCAGAAATCTCCATTAGACCATAAGGTGATGGAGAAACCTCCAAAATTTCAGTGTAGAACAGAGGCTTGTGTTTGGAAACTCTCACAGATCTGACTGAAGAAGACAATCTAACTTTTACAGAAGGTTTTCCAGCAACTCATATATAATGTGACAGACAAAACTGAAGGAAGAACTGTGAGCACAGTGAACATCAATTATGGTAGTGAATATGAGATACAGGTGCCCCTTTCTATATCCTGCAACAAACTTCTCTAAGGGGATCTTTCCTTCTTCAACTTGTTTTTTCCATATATTCAGCCTAAAGATACTTTTAAAATTATGATATTTTGCTGCTGACCCTGTTTCCATGTGCTACCTATACACTTTCCAGGATGTTAAGACATTTTTAGAAAAAAGTTATGTCAAATCAGCATTGTATTAAATGCTCAAAAACACAACTCAAAACCATGTCCTTTTTGCATTGTGACATCTTTTCCATAAAAGAAAGGCTACACTGGAAGTAAACCACAAAGTCTATCATACTCTCTGCAAAACAACATAGAGTACAAAGAAACCTAAAGGTCATGGAAACTTCTGAACACTTAACTTAATTGGGAAGCTCTGGAAAACATGAATTGGCTGCATTAGGCAATACTAAGAGGATAAAATGGCAAGAGTCTGAAACATCAGTATACCTACAGAGGAAAACAATATTTACAATTCTTTTCTAACTAGCATTTTTGGGTTTGTTATCATTTTAGAAATCATAAATCAGAAGAACATCTTAAGAAGACCATAGTAATACTATCAGTCGAAAATTAAACAATTGACTTGGTTTTGCCCTAGTGTTTTAACTTAAGTCCTTTTTCTTTCAATTCTTTTTCCAAAACTTTGTTTTCTTCCAATCCTCCCCAAACCACATCTCCTTGAAAAATCAAAACACACACAGAGCATTGAAGTAGAAGAAACACAGATAGCGAAGCCCTAAAAGAATAACTTTATTCAGCACATCATGCCCCTCTGCACTGAAACTCCTACCAGCACTGTTTGCTCAAAAAACATGACTCAATTTGTATGACATCCTTCTAAATCCTGTACATTAATCTGTGTAACTTCAACCTGAAAGACCTTTCTCTACAGTCACAGAACGTTCTCCCATGGCCTTTCCTCCAGCTCTCCTTGCCCTGTTCCTAAGCTCTCTGCGAGTCTTCCTTCTTGTCCTTTCTAATTTTCCTTTACTTCCAACTCTCTCACAACAGATGTTAAGTCCAATTTCTCCATTTTAATGTGCTGTATTCTAGCCCCAGTTCCACTTATGGACCTCCCCATTAGCACTCTGTCCCCCCTTGCCTCCATCTTGGCATTTTATGCTCTGGAGCCAGACCCAGTAACATTCAAGTTATGTATCTGGAGCATGTGCTCACAACTGGACTCCATGTGAACCATCTCCCCCCAAAAGACACAAAAATCTAAGCGTGAGGACATCTCACAGCTAATTACAAAAGTCATCCAGCATCTTGACTGGAAAAAAAGTTACCAAACTTTGTATTTTCTTTCAACATCCCTCTGTCACAGAAACCCAACTCTTATGCCCTGGGTTACTGAAATTAGGTGCTGGTAACTTAATGATTTCTTGTGCCACTGGGCATTGAGGGGCCTCAACAAGTGTTGGGAAAGAATCTCTTTCATAAATATTAGTTCAGAAATGCTGCGAGTAATGAGTGCAGAAGGAAGGTACATCTTCCTCTGGGGACATGAAGTTCAGTTATTTGTTTCTAGACAATAAGGTTTGCTTGGCAGAGGAAAAATACACTACAAATACACAACAAGGTTGAGAAGAACAGAAGAACGCCTTTTCTGTTTTTTGCCTTTTTTTTTGCTTTTTGCTTTGCAGACCTTTCTTGGCACACAAAATACTTAGTTACCATTTGCTAGCTCTCAATATTTCGTATCAG